TCACGGACTACCCAAAAAAATTGAGGGAAACAAACAGAAATTAGCATAACCCAGCCTAAATCAAGGTTAAAGAGATGATTTCTTGGCTGTGGCTTACCCGAAAAATGCCCAGAAATTCAAACCCACAGCAGCCGGCGGACCAGGAAGAAGAGCAGAGCAGAACCGGGATTTTCTGGGTTGAGAGGGAAGATTCTAAGCCCCAAATCTTGCGGTTGAGCAAGAAAGAAGGAGAAATTTCAAGCCTCTTTACCGGTTTTCAAAGGAAGAGGCCGTCGGTGGCTTAGGGGGGCTTTCGGGTGCAGGGGAGAAGAAAGAAGAGCAGATGCGCAGATAAGGAAGAAGAAAGAAAGAAAAAGAAAAAGGGAAAAGCAATTGATCCTTATCCTAATTTCCTTTCTTTTTAGGTTCCCCAACTTTTGAAAATTTTACGATTAAACACAAAATAATATTTCTTTCACACATAAGTCCCTAATTTAATGCTAAAATACCCCAAAATTTTGGGATATTACAAGGACATTACACAACTATTTGATGTCCCTTTGAACATAAAAGCCTTCACTTTCTTTTTCTAACTTAAACCTTTAGAAGAAAATAGTGGTTGTTACTACATCTGTAAAACATATTTAAAATTCGAAGATTATGCAAGCAATAACCAACCTTCAAAAAAATCCAACTAACAGGAGAGATTTTTGTTTATCATGAAAGACTTAGAGAACTCTCATTTTCCCACCATTTGGATGGTTAGTCAGATGAACACCCCAAAGATCCTCCTTAATGATGAGTCATAAGGTCATCACACTTAATCTTTCTCTAGATGTTGAGGGTATAAAAAACTTGAGATATCTCCTCAAAAAAGCGGAAAAGGGAAAGAAAGTTGTTTGAAAGTTCCACTCCTTTTCTAATTTATCAAGTCCTTAAGTCTTCAAAATTGCTTGTAATGGCATGTTGTTGAGATTAGTTCCACCAAGATTGCCCTTATTCTATTGGACCATCACATTAAGGGAAATAAGAAGTCAATTGAGGAAGAAGACTCGATCACTATAAAAATCCTGTAGGCTACATAGAGAAATAGTTATCTGGACTCTTTAACAAGGCTAATAGAATGATCCTTTAATGTCCTTTTTAGCAAAAGTCCTCTTATCTTCTTAGGGACAATAATTTATACTATAGAATCTAGTCAAAATCAACAAACTCATAGTACTCTATCAATTTGGGATTGGTAATAAAGACTTCAAGAAACTAATGAGGAATTATTGTTTTCCATCATGATTATGGTCATAGGCAATAATCAAATGGAAAAACATGTCTCTCTAGAACTTGACCTTGACTCAGGTATCTTCTACCCCTCAAATTACTCTTAGCTTTTTTTAAACTTTCTTTTTCACATGTACCCAACAAATTTTTCTTAAAATTTCAAGACATAATCTGAGTATGAGAGGAAGATTGGTGATTCAAGAAAGTTCATTTGTGCACTAGCTACCAAAGAATTGTCACGGAGGATGCTAAAAATTACTTGAATAAACTTACAATAGAAAGATAATGACAAATTAACTATTACCTTGTGAAGGTTGGCAACCCTTTCCCTTTTTTTTAGTTCTTCAAATATTTTTTTGTAAATCAAAATTTTGAAGTCTAAGCTATAGCTTACCATCAAACATTAAAAGGGGATTACCTTAAGACCAAGGATGCCCACTTTTACATGAAAGAAGAGGTTGCCAAACTCAAAATTTTGTTGGCGATGTAGTCTAAATATGTCTTCAACTTGATGATGAGAAATATGCTATAGTGTTGAGCTCTAAGCTTTTGTTTGTTGAGTTACAAAACTTTAAAGAACTTTTTAAAAACATGTGTAAAATACATTTCACTAAAGAAAAAAAAAAAGAATAGAAATTGAAAAGGTGATGAGAACAAACTACTATGCCTTAAAGGAAGTAAAAAGGGCTGCATAGCTTCTTTAAGATGAGAAAGTGGGTTATCAACGTAAATTAGATGAGCTTAAACAGTTAGTTGCAAAGCTCTCAACTCAAAATATAATTTTTCAAGCAAATGTCACAAATGCTTCAACCATTGTTGTTCACAAATTCCAAAGGTCAAAATAAGGTTTAACTTAGGCTCTAAGTGGCTCTATAGATCACTTCCACCTTGTTGTGTCCATGAAAATTCTTATGCTTAGGAGAGACATGCTTAAGGGTGACCATATAAGTATCCAAGAGCTTAACATTTCTAATGAAATCAACTAAGATCTAGCTTTGAAGAAAATGTTTGACTATAAGGTGAAGAAGATCTCCAAGGAAAGTTATTCTGTAGATAAAGGTGAGGAATCCAAGAACTAAGAGTACGATTCCAATAATTTTGAATATGGACATACTTCTCAAGAAAAAACCTACAGCTCTTAATTTTATAAAACTTTTATTAAAATAAATTTCCTTGAAAGTTTTTGAACTTTAGGCTTTCATGTTTTGCCAAAATTTTTAGCATTTTTTTTATTTGAAAAGTTGATTTAGTATGAGACCTTCTTAGATTAATTGTGCCTCAATTGTTAAAAAAAACTATTGTAGCTAATTTTCCTTGAGCCTTTAAGTTAACTAGTTGTACATGGCGCATCATTTGTACTTTCTTAGGATATCTCCCTAATCCTCGAAACAAAGTTAGAGTTATAAAATTTTGCACAATAATGTAATCATAAAGAAACTGGGCATTTCATTAAGAATAATTCATGACATTAGCAAAGGTTATATTTATAGAACTTATTCAAACTTATTAGCACAAGATTCTAATATAAAGAATGAAAAGAAAAATTACGTATAAAACGTCTTTAAATGAGTTGCATTCTAAGTCCTTAGAATTAGAGTTCCACTCAGTTTAACAAGTTCAAATGCTTTATTACCCTAGTCTTTAAATCAAATATGGTCATTCCTAATTAAGGCATAGCTTCCCTTATGCAAATTACACTTTGTGACCTCTACCTTTTACAAGACTTAGTCTCTTTAGCACATGTCCTTTAGTCTAACTTTGTTGTTCTAGTAGTTCTCTATTTTATAGTGGTAATGGGCAACATGAACTTGGGACAAATCTTTGGTTTCTTCTCAAAGATCTAGATTCTCCCTTAAAGCTTTGTCATTGGAGATTTCATTGAAGTAGCTTGTTCTATAGTTTAGTATCTTGACTTTAACTAGCACCACCACTTTTGAGCCATATGTTATGTTGAACAAAGCTTTTCCTATTAAAATCCTATGTGTTGTCTTGTTTGCCAATAAAGTGTATGGTGATTCCTTTATTTAGGTTCTTTTTATAGATCCCACCTCCTTTTTCAAACTCTCCAAGATTGCCTTATTTGTAGCCTTTATTTGTCCATTAAACTTTGGATAAGCTTTAAAGGCAAATCTTTGCTCAATTTACTATAAATTATAACCTTCAATCTTTAACTATGCTTTGACTGAAAACCTTCTCTCCATTTTTTTTGTCTAACGATAATCTTTGAAAGTAATATTTGCAAGTAGCATTTCATTATCTATAACCAAAATCCTTAGCATCTTAAACTGACACATAATGTGTTTTTTAACAAAGTCTTTTACTTTTTGTTTAGTTGTTTGAGCTAAAGGTTTTCCCTCGATCCACTTAGTGAAATAATTTTGAACTACCACGTCTGAGTTGTGTTCTTTAGTGTGGATTCAGTGTGGAGGGGAACACTCTATGCAATAAAGCATTGGACGCTTTATGGATCATCATTATCAGTTTGTCACTTTGCATGTGTCCTACTGGGTCCTATGTTCCATCATATTATGCCAACTAAGGTGGCGTGAATGACTAAAGCATAAGCTCCTTTATTATCACATCCAAGGTTAGATCACCAATTGAAGCTTTTTGTAGAGCATTTGTAGCCTTTTGTTGTGCCATTCACAACTCTTCCATCTATTGGCATAAGGTCTTAATGTCTTTTTATAGGGTTTCATGTTTCTCCTTAAAATAATTGACACTGTCCTTAAGCTATTGATATTGTCTACACTTGTCGACTACTATGATAAGATATAGTCAAGGTCATTTTCTTGCATTCCCACTTGAACCTTCACTATGTAGTATAAGCAACACATGATCAAGTAGTTGGGGGGAGTGCCACTAATTTTTAAACACTAGGGATGGTGAATACCTCCTTGGTGGTACACAAGCTCGATGTGCCTAGATTGGCTCTTGCTTTAGTGGTGGTAGATTTAGTTAGTCACGATTCTTAGTTAGAAATGCCACCACTTGCTCAATTGTGTGGATTAAAAATGTCACTGCTTGTTCAATTGTATGAACACTTCTCTTGATTTGTGTCACGTTCTAGTTGAGGTGTTGAATTTGATTCTCTATTGTATTTCTATACCTAGTCATTTGTGGCCTTGAAGAACTTAATCTTGAAGTTTGCTAGATAAGGGGTTCATAAGGATGAAGCTAGTGTTGTGAGGAAATTCTTGGTATGTTGATTCTGCCACATGTTGGCCATTGACTTGATGGTAATAGTTCACTATGAACTACAATTAGCCACATAGTGAGCACCAAATGTTATCCTTTAAAAATAACTCAAAGAAAAAAGTTATTGAAGTAATTAGGATTTAATTAACAGGTAAGAGAAGTACAGAGAATGGAATACAATGTCAAGTTTAAAGAAAGTTTTTTTTTTTTTTTTTTGATAATCTCTATCTCTTCAAAGGTTTTTAACTTTTTATAACCCATTACACAAAGATCCTAACTCAATCGAGATCTTAACCAATCTTAAGAATAATTTAAATTCAAGTCTTTGTGGATTCCTTTGTGGAATCTATTTTGACCACATGATTTTGAATTTCCTCTAAAATTGAATTATGGGTGTAATAAAAACAAACCTTATGGTTGTGTTTAGTGACCTAGTTTCTCAAAAAAACATTCTTAGGAAGCCAAACAAATTTTGACAGGTTTGGCTTAATATCTAAGCACAAAAATCATGAATAAAATAAAGTAATTTTGTATATTATAACTAGTTATACTGGAAAGTAATTGATTACATTACTTGGAAAGTGTTTTTGATACAAAACCCTGTAAAAGTTACCTTCCAAGGAAAATGAGTAAAAACGGACAATATAAGTTTTTGTACAATATTGAAATATTATTAACCAAATGTACAAAAGCTAACGAGCAAATAAAATTTAATCAAAACTTTATTATAAAACTTATCTAATTTTCTTATTGTATTTTTTAATTTTATTTACAGTGTCTTTTCGACTATTCTCATAATAAAATTGACCTCCAAGCAAATA